ATTCTGTGTTTTTCTGTCAATATGGGGTGCTGTGTGTACATTAATGAGGAAAAAAATGAACTTAAATGATTTTAGCATATGGCTGCAATATAACAAAGAGTGAAAAATTTAAGGGGGTCTGAATACTTTCCGTACCCACTGTATTTGGAACAATCTACTTCTTGTGTGTATACAGATGTTCTCAATGGTGAAATAATGACTCGGAGCAGATCCCTTAACTTTACATCTTATCTCCTTTTCTACTTGTGGGTGTTTGTAGTGTTTCGCAAGCGGTGCGTCTTAACTATTTTCAAGTAGACTTTCCTAAACATCTTGTGTCAATAAAAGTGGAAAAAATAAAACCAGGACTCCACCTCTTCAGTGCAGGTAAAAAGGACCTTTCCTTAAAGATGCATCTCTTTAATGCACATGTCATCATTCTAAGGAACTGTGTATAAATTAAAAGGGGGATAGGGAGCTCTGACAATCAGCTTTTCACCTCACCTTTAAGTGTTGCCACACAATTAAACAATTAAAGACACTTTCAATTTTAATTCTTTCTTTTGAATGATTTTTTTTTTGGTCTCATCATTCAGCAGCTTTTTTGCTATTTTGTTATGCTTACTATAAATATCTGTATTATTTTGATAAACTGGGTATTAGGTTTGACTCCGGGCCAACTGAGGCCTTTCTGTGCTGAGTTTGCATGTTCTCCCTGTGCCTGTGTAGGTTCTCTCTGTTTTCAAAAAAAAAATATTAGTAGTGCTGTATAGATTTTATACAGTGAGTAATTTTGTACAGTCCCTAACAAAAATTTGGAGACTTGATATAGGGGAATTTGAGTCCCTACAGCCTGTTACTCCATTTTTTCCTAACCTTGCCTCAAAACCACTGCACTGACATCCATTCATTACATAACTGGTTAACATGTCTGGCTGTTAACATGCCAACAAACTCAAAATGTAAACTTTTATCTTGAGAAGACTAGACTCTAAACATTATTTAAAGCACAACACAGAGTAGCATGATTCATCCTTTAATAATCTGCTGTTAACACTGTTCAAAATGACATTGCTATGCTCTGTCAGACACATTGTGAATGACATGTTTGCATAAAGTACCGTCATTGCTGGAATTATACTTTTCAGATCATCCCACACTGACGAGACCAGTGAGTGATTAATTGTCTTAGAGTAGTTTCAGTGCAGAGACCTGAGTCAAGCCGGGAATCAGTCAAGCAGGGGCATTTCTAGACATCATGCGGTATTGGGGTACAGGACCCCCTTTACTCAAATCACACTTTTTCCCCTTGACTGTTTACTGCGTAAATGAAATGTGCTACACATTGTGCTACGTGAACTTCCCATGCTTGGCCCAGTATTCTACTGCCATACTGCTGCTACTATGACAACTACTGCTAAATTAATCTTTATAAAAATATGTATTTCGACAGACAGACAGCATGATTTATGGTGTAAAGGTCTGGCGCTGTATTGCACATTTCTGTGCATTCTTTTGCATTTTACAATAACATCTACATTGATTGTCAAGCAGCCCCAGTTTGATTTGTCAAATTTAAGCTTCTACAACAAATGAATCAACAAATAATTAATTTAAAGAAAAAATTTTGTAAGTCATAAGGCCACATAACATGCCCATGGTCCAATTATTTTGAAATTGTATTGTGCAATATATGGCAGGTGGTCACACATCTGTCTCCATGGATACAGGCAGCTTCCTCCAAACTTTCCCATCCTGCCTCAGGCTCACCAGTTTATTAAAAATGCATAAAACAATGCTTGGGCTGTGTGACAAGAGCATCAAATATGTTATAAGCAGAAAGAATAGTCCAATGTTAACAGAAACCGCTACATGTGATGTATTATGCATTCTTACGCTGATAACTAGCTTTTTAGTAGCAGTGCAACTGATCATAAGCATTGATGTACAAAGCTCTAATTTACTTCACAATCAACATCCGTGCCCGGTTAGTACTAGTTAACTAATGTTAACGCCTCTCTCACCCCCATCTCTCTGAACTTCGTCCCTGTCTCGGCCTCCTCTAAATAATTCCCTTATGTCCATCTACAGGAGTCAGTAGTGTCTGAGACAAAATAAGATCATTGGTATTATTCAAAAACTTAAATTACTCCCCATAACATACCGCAGTCCATTCCTGTCTTTTGTTTTGTGCACAATACGTGGATTGCTGCGTGGGCGCTGCAGTGCTCCAGCTACACTGCTGCTATTATGACATTCTGGCTCAAATCAAATCTTTTCCCATTATTAACAATCTAAATCAATCCCCTTCCAAATACAGGAGCTTGTTAAAACTCGGACGTGTGAAGGGGTGACACCTGTGCAGTCAAGTCAGGAACATGTGTACTTGCATTCAAATGTTATTAATGGATGGAGAGCACATTTACTTGCCATTTTTAATGTTCTTTTATGACTCAGGTATCAATGTATTGTGGTACAGCTGATAAATTAAACCCCAGGAAAAATGGCAGTTATCCCCTCTAGATGACATTTTAAGGAAATATATATGTAATTATATATGTATGTTTTAATGCGGGGCTGCTCTGTTCTGCACTGTGTGTTGTGAGTGACTAAGTGTGATTGCTTTTGTGTGCATGAGCAAGTATGCATATGCCATGAGGGTGAGACTGGCTAGTTACAGTTACGGTAAGTTAAGATACAGCAGGGCTGCTGCTGGTAAGTGATGTATATGGGTCACGTTTGAGGTTAGTGCATCAGCCTGTTGAGTTTACACTCTAGTGGCTCCCCACATATAGACTGCAGTACTGCAGGATGTGACAAATTCAGTGCTCCAACACTTACCCATTCTTTATAAATAGCATATGACTGCAGCATCTTGTGAGATTAAATCATTTATTAATCATTTATAATACAAATGTAGTCAATAAATACAAAAAAACATACATATAGTTACAATAAATATTACACCCCGATAACAGGCAGATGTGGTTTTAACTTTAAGTGTAAGACTCTTAAAACAAGTCTTAAAATATAAAATTGTCCCCAGGACAAACAAAAGTCTCAACAATAAAGACATCAGTTCTGCAAGTTAAAAAAAAAAAAAAAACACAAATCTGGCAACATTCATTCCAAGATGTAAGAGTCAATGACTTGTTTCTTTCCCTGAGATGAACATGGGCACATTTTGATTAGGGTCATCATGTCTTCAGATGGAGGCCACTCTGCCTCTCTGCCGTTTCGAGGCCAGGTATGTTTCAATGTAGTTAAATAACACATCCAGCTCGCCCATGGCCTTAAACAGACCTTTACTCTCCATCTGTGGACAAACACGTGGTTTAGTTAATGAAAATGATACAAGTGTGCACATATGTACACCACTGAGGATGAACTCTTGACTCTCACCTGAGTGTAAGTAGAGTTTAGGGCTGTGATGTCAAAATGTTTCTTGCATGAGAAATAGTTTCTCTGTAAGAGGAAAAAATACAAAAATGGTGTCAACACAAGAGTTACCAACTTTTCTTTGAGCATCCTGCCCCGAACCGAACCCCTCTGACAGGTTTTTGTTAAACCCAGTGAATAAAGTAGCTACTGTTAACAGGCAAAAAGCTTTAGCTGGATTCTTCCAAATGCGTAAGAAAACTACAATCCCTCCCTTCTCCTTTCAGAGGAATTGGATAGCATTACTAACGATTGCAATGTTGTGACTTGTCTTTCGAGCCACCACTACTCTTCCCTTTTTTGTCACAGTCAACCACTTGCTCACGTCAAAACGTCTGCGGAAAATTGTGACAGTTTTGGGATGTCGACCAAACCAGGAAGAGTGGTTTTAATGGTTTGACCGTGGCAGAGACGCTCTACATGGAACTGACTGCCTAGTCACACGTGGATTCATTGCTCAAGTCATGACTGGTAGCAAAACAGAAAGACTCATTCATTAATTTTATGAGCAACAATCGCCCTAATGGTCCACGTGTGCAAATGTAACCCTTCAGTAAAATGATGAACTACTTGAAAATGCATACATTTTAAAACTAAGTATGTTACACTGTTAATGTTGGGACTTTATACTAAATGGGTGTAGTTCAGGTCCTCACACGTGCATTTATCAACATCACAGCGATTTGGCACAAAAACAACTAAATCACTTGCACAACTGTGACGCTGCACGTTGCGCACTGAAAGCCTATAAAATGTCTTTATGGTTGCCTTTGGGGGGGCGCAGTCGACGCGTATTCACACTTTTATTGTCCCGAAGGAGTAACACGTGTGTCAGCTACTCACACATTTGGTGACATCGCTCTTGAGCTGGTCGAAGATGAGCTGTATGGATTCCATGTGCGGCCTTAAGTCCTTGGTGTCCTCCGTTACTCCCGCCACGGCTGTAGGCAGCACGGTGTTCAGGTAAAAGTCTAGTAAGCTCCTCATAACTTGGCAGGCAAACGGGCTCTGATGTGGGAGGAAAACAACAGCTTGGTCATGTGATGTCGTTTAACTATGTGCCTGTGTGCGCAAACGCTCGTCTTCCCGGCTCCGTGTGCTCTATGATTGAATCTGAGAAGCAGCGCGGCACAATTATAAATACACTTCGTGCGGAGTTAAAACTTACTTTAAAGGAATCCTCGACAGTCTGGTCCAGCAGCGCCGTGTCTAGGTCATTGTTTGCTTCCTGTAAACAGAAAAAACGTGTACTCAGTGCGCTGAGAGAGTGTGTCAACAGATCCAAACAGACGAAGGTGAGAAAGTGCAGCATCACTTGATCTGTCCAAATGATGCTGCACACTAAAGGAACCTGCAAAGCAAATGATGAGCTTTTACTCACATAGAAGTCTCTGATGTGTGAATAGTCTTCTCTGAGCTTTCTGAGCCTGACAGGGAAGCTCTCCACGAAACGGCAGCACTGGTTGTTACACGTGGGGAACCCTTCAGTAAAATGATGAACTACTTGAAAATGCATACATTTTAAAACTAAGTATGTTACACTGTTAATGTTGGGACTTTATACTAAATGGGTGTAGTTCAGGTCCTCACACGTGCATTTATCAACATCACAGCGATTTGGCACAAAAACAACTAAATCACTTGCACAACTGTGACGCTGCACGTTGCGCACTGAAAGCCTATAAAATGTCTTTATGGTTGCCTTTGGGGGGGCGCAGTCGACGCGTATTCACACTTTTATTGTCCCGAAGGAGTAACACGTGTGTCAGCTACTCACACATTTGGTGACATCGCTCTTGAGCTGGTCGAAGATGAGCTGTATGGATTCCATGTGCGGCCTTAAGTCCTTGGTGTCCTCCGTTACTCCCGCCACGGCTGTAGGCAGCACGGTGTTCAGGTAAAAGTCTAGTAAGCTCCTCATAACTTGGCAGGCAAACGGGCTCTGATGTGGGAGGAAAACAACAGCTTGGTCATGTGATGTCGTTTAACTATGTGCCTGTGTGCGCAAACGCTCGTCTTCCCGGCTCCGTGTGCTCTATGATTGAATCTGAGAAGCAGCGCGGCACAATTATAAATACACTTCGTGCGGAGTTAAAACTTACTTTAAAGGAATCCTCGACAGTCTGGTCCAGCAGCGCCGTGTCTAGGTCATTGTTTGCTTCCTGTAAACAGAAAAAACGTGTACTCAGTGCGCTGAGAGAGTGTGTCAACAGATCCAAACAGACGAAGGTGAGAAAGTGCAGCATCACTTGATCTGTCCAAATGATGCTGCACACTAAAGGAACCTGCAAAGCAAATGATGAGCTTTTACTCACATAGAAGTCTCTGATGTGTGAATAGTCTTCTCTGAGCTTTCTGAGCCTGACAGGGAAGCTCTCCACGAAACGGCAGCACTGGTTGTTACACGTGGGGATGCACCAAGCAGTGCTAAAGAAGGACAGGAGAACCAGGATGGACAGCAGGAGAGGGCAGGACGTCATACTGGTGGACAAGCTGCTGAAGAGCCTTAGTTGGAGAGAAGAGAAGAGTGGACTCTCTGGAGTGGAGATGCTGCTGCCTCAGTGGACGAAGATGAAGTTTTCTGACTTCTGAGAGGAGAAATCTTCTTGGTATGATCTTTGTGAAGAGCTTAGAAGAGATGAGTGCTTATATTTAAGCTCATCTCCTGTCTTAATTTATAGCCAAAATTGGGAGAGATTCCCCGAGGGAGGAGCTTGACTGGAAGAGAAATGGTTAAACATACTTCATACATGGTGGGGGGGGTTCTTGTCACAAACATTCATGATTTACATTGGTGTGTGTGTGTGTGTGTGTGTGTGTGTGTGTGTGTGTGTGTGTGCTCCTCCCATGACATAGGATGGCACTAGTCATCTGAAGACCTAAAGGAAAGAAAACTGACGTAGTACCTATGTATTATTGATGTGGCTTTACTACGTCATTTTTCTTTTATCAGCATTTGCACAATTTTGTTATTATTTAAGTTCTGCTGTTATTGTAATCGGTATTAGCAATGTCATAGGCTCATATTAGAAGTATGACTTCAGTGTCTTATGTACTACAGTAGCATTGGCACAGATGCAACTTATCAATCCATGGGTGTAAAAATTACCTTTTAGTTCTATTTTAGATCAATTTTTTGTGCTTGTTTTAATTGTATACACATTTACATCTTTGATGTTTGAATTTCTCCCCCTTCGTCTTATGCATGGCCTTCCTCCCACCTTTTACACGCTTGTGGCCTCCCTCCCGAACGGCTTAATTTATAGCCAAAATTGGGAGAGATTCCCCGAGGGAGGAGCTTGACTGGAAGAGAAATGGTTAAACATACTTCATACATGGTGGGGAAGGATCCAACGCCATGATTTTCACGTTTCAGTGGAAGAACTTTGGTACTCCTTCTCCTTGCCATTGATGCGGCTTCTTGGTTAATAATTGGAATTTCTCCCCCTTCGTCTTATGCATGGCCTTCCTCCCACCTTTTACACGCTTGTGGCCTCCCTCCCGAACGGCTTAATTTATGGGGGTTCTTGTCACAAACATTCATGATTTACATTGGTGTGTGTGTGTGTGTGTGTGTGTGTGCTCCTCCCATGACATAGGATGGCACTAGTCATCTGAAGACCTCAAGGAAAGAAAACTGACGTAGTACCTATGTATTATTGATGTGGCTTTACTACATCATTTTTCTTTTATCAGCATTTGCACAATTTTGTTATTATTTAAGTTCTGCTGTTATTGTAATCGGTATTAGCAATGTCATAGGATCATATTAGAAGTATGACTTCAGTGTCTTATGTACTACAGTAGCATTGGCACAGATGCAACTTATCAATCCATGGGTGTAAAAATTGCCTTTTAGTTCTATTTTAGATCAGTTTTTTTGTGCTTGTTTTAATTGTATACACATTTACATCATTGATGTTTACTAATGTGTATTTGTCCCTGACAAACTAAAAAAAGACAGCAAATCTTGCACTCTCACAACAACAGAGGAAAGAATGCCCCTCACCTGGAAATGGTACTGAGCTGAGGTTTGAGTTTGTTGACACTGTGGATTTCCTCTCTATGTCAAACATACGTAAAAACACTAGCAGGGTTGAAAGCTGGTGAGAGCTACACTCTGCTTTGTTGTTGTGAGGTGACAGGAGTCTGGGTACTGTCATCTTTAGCGAGCAAAAAGTTGCATGTGTAAAAAGTTATGTTTTTGTAAATTGAGGAAGCACATTGACTTCTCTATGTGGTTTGGGCCTGTCAGAGGGTATAAGTGGTCACAGCATTAAGGGGTATTTTCCCCTCAGTACTTTTTTGTTGTGTGGAATGTCCATTCATCCACAACTAATATTCTCTATTTTGTCTGGTTGGTACTTTGCCTTAACCTATTTATGTTGGGCAACACTGGTATTTTAAAAACTGCTGATGGGAAAGTCATTCCTAATGATCTCTCTGATGACCTCTGCATTTGAAGACTTCACAATCTGTGCAAATCTTTCAAGTACTTTTGCTGGATGAAGCTTGTGTCATGCTGAAGACCAAGCAGTGTGCCATGGTACAGTGAGTATCACCCAGGCAATGCAGACAAATGTGAAGAGACAGCACACCGACACTAGAAATAGAGGTTTAATAAAAGAACAAAAAAAAAGTTTGAATTTCATTCATTCATTCATTTTCTACCGCTTAGTCCCTGAACGGGGTCACGGGGGTGCCGGAGCCAATCCCGGCCAGCATTTGGGCAAAGGCGGGGTACACCCTGGACAGGTCGCCAATCCATCGCAGGGCTAACACATAGACGAACAACCATACACACGCACATGCACTCCTATGAGCAATTTAGAGACACCAATCAACCTAAGCTGCATGTCTTTGGACTGTGGGAGGAAGTCGGAGTACCCGGAGAGAACCCACACAAGCACGGGGAGAACATGCAAACCCCACACAGAAAAGTCCCAGGTGGGGCCCGAACCCGGAACCTTCTCGCTGTGAGGCTTAATAAAAGAACAAAAAAAAGTTTGAATTTGTTCTTATAAAAGCCCTATTGTATGGAAGGTGTGAAAAGCCTAAATAAAAACTAAGCGAATAAATACAATGCAATACCATAACATTGTAATATGTTTTACCTTTACTGTCATGGCCAAACATATTGGCACTCTCGCATTTCAAGAATCCCAGAAGACAGGTGTAAGAAACTCACTGATGGTCACAGGAAGTGACTGATTTCAGTTATTTTGTCCAAAGGGAGAAGTGGTGCGTCATCTGACAGAAACGGCAGCACTGGTTGTTACATGTGGGCATGCACCAAGCAGTGCTAAAGAAGGACAGGAGAACCAGGACGGACAGCAGGAGAGGGCAGGACGTCATACTGGTGAACAAGCTGCTGAAGAGCCTTAGTTGGAGAGAAGAGAAGAGTGGACCCTCTGGAGTGGAGATGCTGCTGCCTCAGTGGACGAAGATGAAGTTTTCTGACTTCTGAGAGGAGAAATCTTCTTGGTATGATCTTTGTGAAGAGCTCAGAAGAGATGAGTGCTTATATTTAGGCTCATCTCCTGTCTTAAGGACAGGATTCATACAATCATTGAATTAGTGCCCAGAAGATTCTGTGACTTGCAAAATCCAAGTGATGCTAAATGAAAAGAATTGCAACAATATGCAGAAAATGAAGCTGTCGCACTTGGGTTTGCAAATTACAGCAGCCAAGCACAGAATGCTGATTTGTAATGGAGATATGGAGATGCTACTCTGTAAATTACTCATGATATCAATATGAAAACATGCAAATATGTTTGTTCTTGTGTCTTTCATACACCCCTCTTTGGTGTGTGTGTGTGAGAGAGAGAGAGAGAGAACGTGTGAATGAGCATACATGTGCGCTCTTTGCATTTTGCTGTGCAATTTCATGATTTCATGTGGTTACAGTTGCATTTTACATGCTTCTGACCAGACTGGTATTTGAGTTGTTTATGTGTGTGTGAGTAGGACTTTGTGTTTGCCCATAAAGTAATTTGTTGTTAGATGTTGGGGTGGGGGTTTCTTCCTCACCCACTCATATTAAAACTCAGCGTACCAGAACTGACCGTAGAAACTGATTGAAAAGCCAACGTCATACTTTACCAGTGAGCGCTTTCTGTTCACAGAAATGATGTGTCATCAAAATATAATTGTCATGCTCATGTGTTGGCAGGGTAGCAGTATGTCTAATATTATTAATCTTGTCATTTGTGACATATTTATGTAATTTTTTTCCTGGTTACAGAAATGTCTGCAGCTCCAAAAACCATACCAGTTGCTGGTAAGTGATGTGAAAAAAATGGGCCAGTTTCTCTGAAAACTATTTAGGTCATAATCCTGAAAATGTGCTGATCCTCTGGAGGTGTCATATCAGCAACTTAATGTTCATTGTGTATTTACTCATAGGTAATTTCTCACTGATATTATTTTTAACTATTTATTCTGATCTAACAGTTTCCTCCAGCCAGGAACCAGCGTCCCTTTCCATGTCCTGGTCTGTTTGAAATGGACCCAAAGCTGAATTAGTCAAATCTTATCATATCATTGATGTGTGAGTAACAGCAAAACACTGTCTGCTCTGGAGATGATCAGGTGCTAGTGTGGTGAAGGTGGCTCTTTGTTCTCTCTGCTCTTACCCCTTCACCTCCTAATCTCAGGTTCTGACGTCATGGCTCCGAATCTGCAGTCAGCAATACTGCACCACATTATCTGAAACCTGACTGCTGATATCATATTCAGTTGGTTCAGCCCTTTTGTTGGAACATGAATCACAGCAGAACACCTAATGAAACTGAAACGCTGTTACTGCAGATGGACAAAAACGGGTAACTGCTGTGATCCTCTTGACTGCAAGTACTTGTGCCTTGCAGACCAGATGAGCTGCACAATGCTTTAACGTCTCCTCCGCCTTATGTGTCTGTTTTTGTGTTTGTGTGTGCACATTCTGTGTCTGCTGTACTTGCAACTGTACATGTGCAACCTTTAGAGGAAATCTATCTGTCTTTCACCACATTCATCTTTCAGTTTCACACACCGTATCTCTTTGATTCTCAATAAGGCTACAAAAAAGAGGAAACTGTGAGAATTGTATATAAGATGTCCAGATCATTACAGCTGTCCCCCCCACCCAGCCGCTCATCCGGACACACGTGTTAACGTATGTTGTGACAAGTTGTATAACAGATGATTTCTAGGTGGGTGGATGCCTATTATGAGGATTATGTAGAATGGAAGGCAGCATTCTTGCAATTTCATTTGTTTTTCCTGTGCATGACCTCAAGGGGCCCCTTTGCACTTCACATGAATTCTTTAGTCATTAAATATTCTGCCCAGTTCACCCATCATGGTAAATGTGAGCTGTCCTCTGACTAGCAAATTGTCACCTGAACCTCCTTTAGCATTAATAGCTGCTAAGTAAAAAATATGACCTGGAGCTGTGACTTTAACAGTTACTAATAAAGATGACAAGAAACTTCCTCAGAAACCTTATAATTCCTGCAGTGCTGAGCAAATTAATATTAGATGAATGTATTGCTGTAACCTGAAAGTAAAGCAGCCTGGTTCTATGCCTGAGCAAGCATCTTTCAAGGAAACCTCAAAATTCCCCCTGTACACAAGATTTGACCTGGACAGTATCACTAATGTCAGCTTGTTCTTTTACACAATCAGACA